AAAAATTAACTGCATCCCCAATAAAAACAGGAAGGAAGATTTTTTTTTTTTCTGGTGTTAGTCAAGCTTGGAAAAATAAGAGGGGAACTAACCTCACCAGATATTAACACATACTACAAAGCCTCTATAATTAAAACGTGGGTTACTAGAGCATGAACAGACAGACAGACCAGGGGAATAGAACAGAAACCTCAGAAGCAGACCCAATATTATAAAATAATCAATCACCTCCCAAAGTAATCTTAATATTAATACAATTTCAATCAGAATCCTAATGAAATCTGGAAAGGAAGAAATTGCCAAATTGATGATAAACTTTGACAGTAAGAAAAAAAAATCTCATCGACATGAGAACCCTGCCACAACCAAGAAATTTTAAAGAACAACGGAGGGGAAACTTGCCCGACCATTAAACACATAAGAACTAGATAAAATAAACTTGGATCTATCACACGATGGAATACTACAGAACATAATTTCATGGATCTCTATACATATTTATATAACAAACAGTCTGGGAGAACATGTTAAATTAATAACAGTAGTTAATAGTGGGTTAGAAGGGATGACCTGAGGGAATACTACTTTTTGTTTCCAATATAATTACATTTTCTACCACAATTCATACTGCTTGCAATAAAATAAATTTTAAGATTTAAAAAATGGGAAAAGGCAAAGGGAAAACAGTGGAGCCCCTTCGTTATACTATGTTACAAAGGGGACTTCATCATAAGCGCTTCTAACTGCAAGGATTGGGGGTTCTGACTGTGCAACGAAGAGAGAGGATTCTAACGGGCACAGTGGCCTTCCAGTTGATTCTCTGAATCCTAAGGTTCAGTAAAGGCACCTCAAGAGACTCAACAGGGCCTTCTCCTCCACTCACCCACAACAACCTGACTTTCTTATTTAAGGTCATACTGCGTACTAAGAAAGGGTTCTATTGCCTAAATAAAGTTTGTGAACCACCCACCCGGAAGACTACTAAGAGAAACGCAATGTTAAAGGCAATTAATACTTCTTAATGAATTATAAGATCTATTATATTAACGAATATTTCGTCACAACTGGTGTAACTGCCCGAATGCCACAAGCTGTTAAGAATCTTTCCTTTTACCTGGAAGAAGAACCTCAAGGTTCTTACCCTCAAGAATTCAAATCCTTATTGAGAAGGACTGTAGAATAAATTATTGCACTTTATATATGATTTCGTTTCCTAAAATAATTCTTTTAATTCTAAGCTAGGTAGATATGCTTTCCAAATTACTAACTCTAACCAGCTTTATGCTTTCCAGGGGCAATATCGTATGTAAAAGTTTTGCAGGTAAGTGGGAACTCATGAGATTCCATGATCTGATTTTTATGCCCACCGTTAACTTGAAATATCCCAACTTTATTACTTGGTTCAGCATTTATCTTTACATGAGCAATACACAAAATTTTCTAGGCTTTCTATACACCTAGGCTTATGTCAGTGCTCAAGAAAGAACCAAACATAAAAAAAAAAATTAGGGAGTTCCCCGGTGGTCTAGTGGTTAGGATTTGGAGCTTTCACTGCCACGGCCCGGGTTCAATCCCTGGTCAGGGAACTGAGACCGTGCAAGCCACGGCGCACCCAAAATAAAAATAAATTAATTAAAATTAAAAAATAAATTAGGGCTTCCCTGGTGGCGCAGTGGTTGAGAGTCCGCCTGCCGATGCAGCGGACGTGGGTTCGTGCCCCGGTCCGGGAGGATCCCACATGCTGCGGAGCAGCTGGGCCCGTGAGCCACGGCTGCTGAGCCAGGCTCCGAACGCGGGAGAGGCCACGACAGTGAGAGGGCCCCGGACCGCAAAAAAAAAAAAAAAAAAAAAAAAAAAAAGTGGGGATAAGACTTGAACATACATTTCATCAAAGACAGTACTCAACTAGTATAAAGTAATCAACATTATTAATAATCAAGGAACTAAACGTTAAGTCCACAGTGAAGCACCCCTATCAGAGTAGTCAAAATTAAAAATATAGGCATTGCTATATGTTGGTGAGAATGTGGAGCAACTGGAACTTTGTTACATTACTATTGAATGTGTAAATTTTTCAACCATTTTGGAAAACTGGTCATTTCTGTTAAAGCTAAATAGAGCCTAGCCTATGACTCAGCAATTCTACTCCTAGGTATTTGCTAAATGGGTATGTGCCCACCAAAACACAAACACAAGAATGTCCCTAGCAGGAGCCTGCGCGTCCGGAGCCTGTGCTCCGCAACGGGAGAGGCCACAACAGTGAGAGGCCCGCGTACCGCAAAAAAAAAATAAATAAATAAATAAATTAATTAATTAATTAAAATACTTCAATAAAATATATATATAAATTTAAAAATCAAAAAAATCAAAAAAACACATTGTAAATCAACTATACTTCAATAAAAAAAAAATATATATATATATATATATATAAATTTTTTTCTTATGAAAAAGAGAGAGAGGACCACACAATCAACAGCTCAGGCAGTCCAAAATTTTAAAAGTCAAATAATAAAAATAGCACACAAGATTACATGAACGACACAGTCTGCAGAATTTGACAAGGGGAGATCAAAGTTCAGGGAGGAGTAACAAAGGGCTGCTTAGGGGATGTAGAACTTGGGTCAGGCGACAAGCACACATGAGCACCAGGGTCACTCCTGGCTTTTGGCCTGTGCATAGATGGACTTGCTGAACTATCTCACTAAGAGTGTATACATTTGCCCCAAACTCAAAGAACTGTCACAAAAGAGGGTGAAATGTACTACATATAAATTATACCTTAATTAAAACAAGGAAAAAAAAATATCTGTAAATAATTACTTGGAGGACAATTACCATTTTGTATAAAATTTCAGAAACACATGCCTTATGACTTAGCAATTTCATTTCTGGGAACATATTTTCCAGTTATATCCAGAGTACAAAATTATGCATTATATAAAGAAAACAATGCAGCACTATTTGTAAAACTTAAAAATCAAGTGTTTTTAAAAATAAAACAATAAATATTTAGTGAACACTTACACGTAGTGATAAAAGTCTAAGATCAAACATTAAGGACTATAAAACATCCAAATTATTTCTGGAAGAAAAGATGGTTTGTACAGAACAGAACGCTAATAAATGCAATCTCTCAGCCTATAATAAACTGAGTCACTACTTACAATTTCTTCAAAAAAAAACTTCTAAACACAGATGAGTGCAGACGTGGCATTCTGTTCTCAAAGCTTAGTCATTACTGACTGACCTTTCCTTGTACTGAATTCATGAAAATGCAGAAGTCTGCAACCTGTTATTATTCGCAGCCACCTCACCTACCCACCACTGACAATGACAACACAACTCTATCCTGAGTTGATTTAACTTTTCTGCATATATTTCCTATAGGTAAGGCAAGGTAAAGAATGCTAATTATATAAACCTTAAGGGATAAATTCTAAACTTCTGTGTGACAAAAATTCTCAATTTCTGTATAACAAAAATAAATAAAACAAATTTAAAATCATTAACATTTTTAAAGTGAGGAGGCAGGCACAGGGCAAATACTTTTATATTTGTTTACCTTTAATATGCAAAATACTCTTGTCAATACATATAAATAACCAAATAGAAAATACACAAGAAATTTACAGAAGAGCAGTAACGGAAAGCATAAGTAACTTTTAAAAATTAAAGAGGGCTTCCCTGGTGGCGCAGTGGTTGAGAGTCCGCCTGCCGATGCAGGGGACACGGGTTCGTGCCCCGGTCCGGGAAGATCCCACATGCCGTGGAGCGGCTGGGCCCATGAGCCATGGCTGCTGAGCCTGCGTGTCCGGAGCCTGTGCTCCGCGGTGGGAGAGGCCACAGCAGTGAGAGGCCCGCGTACAGGAAAAAAAAAAAAAAAAAAAAAAAAAATTAAAGAAAAAAAAAAAGCAACAACAAAAAAAATGAAAAGCCAAGACAATAATATCACAAAATGGACAAGGGCGGTTCTTTAATAATCTATTGGTGGAAGCATTTGGTTCACTCATACGAAAATTAACAGCCTTTTTGAAGGGCAAAGAAGCATTTTCAATATCTTCCAGGGAGCTATGCTTGAAAAATATTTACACAGCATAAGTATATGTAAAACTTTTCTAGAAGCATCATTTGTAATATCAAAAAATGTAAACACCTAAAAGTCTGTCAATCGGGTACTGGTAAAGGAAATAAATTGTGGCATATCCATGCAGACTTAAGAACTCTACAGTCACTGAAAAGAATAAAGCCACTCTACTCATCAGGAAAGATGCTAAAGATACACTATTAACTGAAAGAAGCAACTGCAGAGCAATGTGCAACTTGCCATCCCACAAAGACCACTCCTGAATGGGTTACGAGCCAGAGCCTGTACCAAAAAAAAAAAAAATACCCTGAACAATATTAGTAATTAAATATGGGTTTGGAAAGAAGGTAAGGGGGTGGTGTTCATTTTCTATATTACACGTTTCTTTGTTTTATTTTTTAGTGGTAAGAATGTTTTACTTTTGAAATCAGAAAATAAAGGTTTTAAGTATGTAATTATGACAGAAGAAAGAAAAGTCTTGCTAGGAAGATCTGTTTTTAAAATGCAAAGCTCTGAATCTCTCTGGTATAGAAACTACACAGATCAGCCAAAATCCCCACCAAAATGTAAATGTTCACTAGATTGCAAGGCTACCATAGATAGATGGCATGTAGGCACTCAGGATCTGAAGGCATGAGCGTGTCACATTGAAACACAAGTTCAACAACACTAACATTCTTAAAGTTGTATTTAAAAGAAAAACACAGGCAGAAAACTCATGAAAGTGTGAAATAAAAAATGAATAACTGATCGATTAAATTATTTTTCATTGCTGTCTGTTGTATTTCTAAAGTTGGAAGAGCCCGTTACTTTTAAACTTTAGCCTAAAAGTTGTTTCTTCCATATGAGGAAAATATTTGAGTTTCAAGGTACATTTGTTTTCACAGGATTTGCAACCCAAAGGAAAACATACCTTCTAAGAGCATTTCTGGAATGTCTGCTTGATATCTAGGTCCCACTCTGATTTCACCTTTGTCAGCTAACAGTGTTTTCACTGAGGGATCATAGACCAATGAGTAGAAAAAAGTATCCTGGAAAAAAAAAAATGACAGAAAATAGCTAGGTAAACATAATTCCTTCTACTTTTTATAAAGCAATAAATCCAATGTCACAATAATGAAACCATAAAACTCCAGAGTAGGGCTTCCCTGGTGGCGCAGTGGTTGAGAGTCCGCCTGCCGATGCAGGGGACACGGGTTCGTGCCCCGATCTGGGAAGATCCCACATGCCGCGGAGCGGCTGCGCCCGTGAGCCATGGCCGCTGAGCCTGTGCGTCTGGAGCCTGTGCTCCGCAACGTGAGAGGCCACAACAGTGAGAGGCCCGCGTACCGCAAACAAACAAAAAAAAAAGAAAAAAAAGTCCCTTTAATTCTGTAAAAAAAAAAAAAACCTATGTGTAATAAAGATTTTGGGAAAACAAACACTATGTAATTATAAAGGTTAAATGCTGAAACATTATCAATAGTAAAATATTTTCCCCACAAATGATAAAAATCACATAAAACTGCAAAATGTGGAATAGCCTTGCTTACAAGAATTTCCTCCCTTCAATGAAGTGCTTGCTCTAATTCAACTTGTTAAAAATGTTTAAAATGTTTCTTGAAGTTTACAGAAAAAAATATTTTTAGTTGACAAAGTTTATTAGGATTCCAGGAAAGAAAGCAGACCACCAATGGTAAAATCTCATCTGCAAACAGTCTAAAAGAAATGCTATTTATTTAAAAAGAGAAAAAAGGGAGGAGGACCAAGTATACTGAAGTCATTTATTTCATAAAGCCAAAAATAGTTCTTCCACTACCAACTAAATCATGTGCTATAGTTTACAAGCTTTTCATTACCAAGCAAAAGAGACAGACAGACATGGGAGTTTTTGCCAACTTTTCTCTCAGTTAACCAGAAAAATAAAATTAACTGAATGCAGTCCAGTCATTATACTTTTACCATAATACTGCTATCATTGTGCAATAATTTGTTAGAAGAAGAAATAATGCAAAAGTATGGGCTTCTTATGAAATAGAGGGAAAACCAAAAACAAGTATAATTGTGAATTACCTCTTTATCAAGATATGACAATACAGACTCTGTCTCATTCAGAAGGGCAACACTGCATTTCCCCCTGTTGAAAGAGGAGAAAAATGAATAAATAAAGGCCACCTCACCCTCACAGTGATGATATATACAAAGTTAGGAATATTCAAAATGTAAAGGTGGTATTAAGAAACTAGATGGCTTTTAGGAAAATCTATATGTGTATATACTTGGACTCTCTACCATCTTGGTTTTGTGTAACCTAAAAAATAAGGCTGTGTTTGTAGACATTTACTGAGAGGCTAATCTGGGGAAGGAACAATGTTAGGCAGTAAATCCTTGAAACATAAAACACTTTATAGGTATTTCCTAATTTTTCAAGAAAAAAAAGAAGAGTACAATGCAATATTCAGACTAAGAGCTAGTTTCTGAATCTGTAAAGAGTTAATATGAGGTAATTTTATACAAGGGATTTTCAAAGACAACACCATGCAAACCAGTGCCTGAAATAACCTTCAAATTTTTAAAGTAGACACTGCATATGAGAACCTAAAATAATATACATTCACATCAGGATTAAGTAACTTACCTTTATTGAAACTGTTCTAGAGACTAGTTAAAATTTAAATACAAGAAACTCCTATAGAGCAAGGGGCAAATAAGCTTCATGGACCTTGAAGTCTCATGGCATTTATCTTTGATAATAGCTGGGTGTGTGCTTGGAAAAGAAATGTCTATTTTAAAAAAGGCTTACAGGACATGGAAGCAAGCTAAGTGTCCATCAACAGATGAATGGATAAAGATGTGGCACCTATATACAATGGAATATTACTCAGCCATAAAAAGAAACGAAATTGAGTTATTTGTAGTGAGGTGGATGGACCTAGAGAGTCATACAGAGTGAAGTAAGTCAGAGACAGAAAAACAAATACCGTATGCTAACACATATATATGAAATCTAAAAAAAACAAAAAAAGTTCTGAAGAACCTAGGGGAAGGACAGGAATAAAGACACAGATGTAGAGAATGGACTTGAGGACATGGGGAGGCGGAAGGGTAAGCTGGGACGAAGTGAGAGAGTGGCATGGACATATATACACTACCAAATGTAAAACAGATAGCTAGTGGGAAGCAGCTGCATAGCACAGGGAGATCAGCTCGGTGCTTTGTGACCACCTAGAGGGGTGGGATAGGGAGGGTGGGAGGGACACGCAAGAGGGAGGAGATATGGGGATATATGTATATGTATAACTGATTCACTTTGTTATAAAGCAGAAACTAACACAACATTGTAAAGCAAGTATACTCCAATAAAGATGTATGTATGTATGTATGAATGAATGAATGAATGAATGAATTTTTTTAAAAAGAGGTAAAAAAGGCTTATCTAGACCTGAGAAAAATCAGGGTTATTCAGGTAGTTGTATTTACTACCACTTTTAAAATTATCCTCCCAGCTTGAAAACTTCAATATAGCTACAAATTTGACAGGAGAATTCTGATAGACTATTTAAGTTACAGATATTGGTCAGGGCTCACAAAATATTTTTTAAATGTCATAATGTCATTTGATTTTCTAAACAAAAGTCACTACTTGCTCCCCATGAAATAACCTGCAAAAACAAATGCATCAAATATACATTAAATAGGAAGCTTGTTGTTAGATTATCAGAGTGAAATACAATTCAAAGGAAAAAATTACCAAAAGCAAAACTTTTGCAAAAGTAAAGTATTAACACATAAGTAAAAAATTATAGTTTACTAAAAAAAAAAAATCATAGTTTACTAAACATTTTGTAACTGTATATTCCTTAAATCTAAAAAAAGATTTACTCTCATCAAAACATCTCTCTCTGTTAATCATCTTAGGTTGTTATCACTTCAAAAGATTTCTCTCAGGGACTTCCCTGGTGGCGCCGTGGTTAAGAATCCACCTGCCAATGCAGGGGACATGGGTTCGAGCCTTGGTCCAGGAAGATCCCACAGGCTGCAGAGCAGCTAAGCCCGTGCACCACAACTACTGAGCCTGCGAGCCACAACTACTGAGCCCGTGCGCCTAGAGCCCGTGCTCCGCAACAAGAGAAGCCACCGCAATGAGAAGATCGTGCACCACAACGAAGAGTAGCCCCGGCTCACCGCAACTAGAGAAAGCCCGCTTGCAGCAAAGAAGACCCAATGCAGCCAAAAATAAATAAATAAATTTATTTTTTAAAAAAATAAAGATTTCTCTGTGAGCATGTGGTATTTCCATAGTCAAATCTCTAATTCGATTACCAGGAGCTTTAAAGGTTTTCTGCTTTTCTAATATATTTTATTCATGCATATTACTGAAGCAGAAAAATTAACATTATTACTTCAATGCATATGTAAAGTCAACAATTACATGACAAGCTCTTACAAAGGACAGAATTATGAGCAGGGAAATTGCTCTGTTGCTGTTACCGCATCTACAGCTGCCATAGAAGAACCTCTTATGACCTGTGAATACATGCTCATACATGCAAGAGTGCTTAAGCAACAAATGGGATTTCCAAAAATAGTTTCATTTACTTCTCTTGCCTCAATAACTGCTGACAAAGCAGTATTTCTAACATTTAATACTTAATCACCTAGAAAAAATATTTTTTTAAGTTCTCTAAAGTCAGGTTTGTTTTTTTTTTTAATGGAGAGGAGCAGATGCTGTAAATGTTATTCTAATAGATATCACTTGAATTTTATAGCATAACAGACACTGAAAATTCATAAAAAGAATATAGCATAGGGCTTCCCTGGTGGCGCAGTGGTTGAGAGTCCACCTGCCGATGCAGGGGACACAGGTTTGTGCCCCGGGTCCGGGAAGATCCCACATGCCGCGGAGCGGCTGGGCCCGTGAGCCATGGCCACTGAGCCTGCGCTCCACAACGGGAGAGGCCACAACAGTGAGAGGCCCGCATACCGCAAAAAAACAAACAAAAAAAACCAATATAGCATAAGGTTGCCTCCATACTGTCTGAAATGACAAAAGAATTTAATCACTATACCATTATTTTCATATTTCTATCAGGAGATAAGGAAACACTGATTATACTGTTTTAGAGGCACAACATGATTACAAAACCAGTAGAAGGATAGATACCCCAACCAATCTAAAATATAAATTATTTTTGGAAATGTAGATTTTATGCAAAGAGGAAAGGATAATAGGTAATTTTAGTTCTTAATTTTTCTTTAATGTAGTATATTGTACCTTTTCCCCCATTAAAAATGAAAATGTGACTTAAATTTTCATGTACATATATTAACAGCTAACAAAGTAAGAGGTTCAGTCAGAATTATTTTATGAAGTAAATATGAATATGTAATTAACACATGTACCACCACGCCAAGAGTTGTTGATAAAAGTAGTTTAAGAAGAGATTTAAAGTGTTGGCTTCCTTTATGCTGAACAAATCTTGGCTCACAGGAAAAAGCATGATAAATTTTAAGCTAACAGCAAACTAAAGGAACTATTATCAAATTCTGAATATAGATAACCCAATTGTTTTACCCTGAACCTCAAGCAATGAACCTAATTGTAATAATTTGTATGGGGACAGATGATTACTAGACTTATTGTGATCATTTCATAATGTATGCAAATGTCAAATAACTATTTAGTACACCTGAAACTAACATAATGTTGTATGTCAACTATATTTCAATTTTTAACATATGCAAAAACAAACTATTTGCCAGTGTGGCGGGGGGGAAGACACTCAACATTCTCAGCCACTAGGAAAACGCAAACTCAAAACCACAGTGAGATACACTTCAAAGAAAACCACAAGGATGCCTACAATGAAAAACACAGACAATAACAAGTGTTGACGTGGATGTGGAGAAACTGGAACCCTAATACTTTGCTGGTAATGATATAAAACTGTGTAGTCACTTCCGAAAGCAGTTTGGCCATTCCTCAAAATGTTAAACAGAGTTGCCCTCTGACCCGGCAATTCCCCTCCTAAGCGTAATACCAGCAAAGAAAACATACACCCACACAAAAACCTGTGCACGGATGTTCACAGCAGCATTATTCATAACAGCCAAGAAGTGGAAACAACCCAAATTTCCATCAGCTGATGAATGGGTAAACAAAATGTGTAGTTCTGGTCCAAGTCCAAAGGCCTGAGAACCAGGAGTGCTGATGCTGTAAATCCCAGTCCGAGGGCAGGAGAACAAGGTCCCAGCTTAGTCAGTCACACAGAGAGAGAATTCTCCCTTCCTCTACCTTTTTGCTCTTTTCAGATCTTCAACTGATTAGAAGAGGTTTCCCCCACATGGGCGGGCGGGGCGGGGCGGGGGGGGG